TGCATGTCCATCGCGGGGGCAGGTTGCAGTGGCTGGCTGAGGAGAATCCACCTCCCGGGAGGGTGGGAGACCGGGGTGGTAACAAACAGAAATCCAGGCTGGATGTTGCCTTTCCTGGCAAGGGCTCCGGCTGCCGCTGTCAAGGCAGGGGATATGCCTTAAAACCAGCGGATGCATTTGCTTACGCACAAGAGTGCTGAGGGCCCTGCTGCTCTCTCCTCTTCCCTCCCCCCCACCTTCAGTCTTTCTTGCTTTTCCAACCCCGGTGCCTCCAAGGTTTCTTGCCGTAGAAGCAGGAGAGCGTACAAATATGTGGGAAAACACAGCACGCAGAAGCAGCCTGAGCGAGGCGTCCCTCCAGCCCCCGATGAGCTGCGTAGCAAGTGTGTGTGCCACTTGGGAGTGGGGGCATGACAGAACGAGATGTCGTCATTTAATTGAAGCACGAAGCCGCTCGCTCTTCATTCCTCCTTTTGTGCCATGTTTATTTGCAATAGAGAGGCCTCTCATTCTGTGGCTTCATCGCTCTGCCCTGCTATCGAGGAGGCAGCGGGCATGGCTGCTGATTCAAAGCCATCGCACGTTTGTTCTGCCAAAGCCATTTATAACTCTCCCGTCGCTGTGACATACGGGCACCTTGGCTCCCCGGAAGAACTTTACTCCAGGGAGGGCATGGGGTAGCTGCTTTTCATCCAGAGCATCAGCCCCGCATGGGCTGGGGCTGCGGATTCATTCCAGGAGCAGAGGAGAGGGCACATCCCCCTGTTATCGGCTGGCTGGGAGCAGCAGCTGACGAGCAAACGCTGACTTGGCTTAACCGTACAATGGGTGAGCCCCTGCGAGCCGGTGCGTGGGCTCGAAACGCTGCTCAGGGCTTCTGTGCACAGCGAGCCTGCTCTGCGGCCCTGGGGTGTGCGGGTGAGGGACCCCCGCGCGGCCGCAGCCCCCGGCGTTTGCTGAAACAGATGGCGCAGAGAGAAATACGTTAATGGCTTCATTAATAAAGGGGAGGAGAAGTGCTGAATACCAGCAAAACTTTCCTTCCAGGGACTTGTTTCCAGCTGGAAATGGAAAGACCCCCCTCCCCCCCACAATAGCTGTGTTGCAACGTAGACAAAATGCTGACAAGCGTGCAGTCTCACGCGGAGAGGGAGAACAGCCTGACAGGTCTTTTCCATCTTTTGCCTTTGAGAAGAGCAGAAATATAATCTCTGCAGGAATTTTTAAATTCTTCCTGAGCTAGCAGCTCTGTCGGTCCTCCTTCAAAGGAATTTGGAGATGAAAGGGGTGTGTTTGAGGGCATGCACTACTTTGATCCCACCCTCAAGCAGCCAACACCCCAGCACTCCGCAAACAGCAAACCTGCCAATTAAGTGCTAGTGGAATAGCTTCTGTCCAGGTAAACACTGAATTCGGCTTTAATCAGCCCTGCAAAATGGCCTCGACAGTGGATCCACCCACATGCACAATCCAGTCACCTGTCGCGCACCCTGTTGCTTGTTGGCAGTGGAAAAGCATATTTCGTTCTCCTGCAGACCCTGACAAAATCCCACTGTCCAGTGGGAGAACGCGAGGAGGCAGTTGAATGCCCTGTTGTTCCACCTGAACATAAATGCGTGTCTGCGGCCCGGCAGAGCGGCCCTCGGCAAGGGCTCTTCAACCAGCACCGATACGTCAGCCCTCGCTGGCGCAGGGGTGAAGACACTTGTGCAGGATCTGAGCTCTCCTGGAGCAAACCGGTTCTCCTGCCCTTCACCTCTCTGCTTCTGACATTCAGCCCACCTCCTCTGTGCACATTTTCAACCTTTAGTCCCTTTTCTCCAAGGAACACCACATATGCAGACTTCTCCCCCCATCTGTCGCCCTGTTATTTGCAGATCAAGCACAGATCTGCTTGATCAAAGCTGAAATGTCGTTAGCTTTGGCGTTTTTTCCTGTAAAGCCCTTAGAAGAAGACCTAGCACCGCAGGGGCGCACGGTGATTCAGCAGCTGGATCCCTTCCTTGGAAGGTGAGCGCTGGCTGTACACGCAGGGGATGATTTGCAGCTCTGGTTCCCGGGAGATCTGTGACACTTTTGGAATAGCAGTGATCCTAACCCCTGGCTGAATTCCCACGAGCTGCCTAGAATTATTTTCCGAAGGGCTAGCTGATGAAATGTGCCCACATTCCTTCTTCATGTCTGTATCCCAGGTGGCTGAAAACCTTCCCATGTTAAGGAGGTGATTCCTGCAGCTCCTCTAAAATCCTGTGCCTTCAAATGGGCAGGATTTTCCCATCCTGTCGGAATGTTACATGGCACACAACATCCAGGGTCAGGTTCAATTCTACCTCATTCGATGCACTGGTACCCTATAAACAGGTACATCCTCAGGAGGCCAGAGCCCCTGTACATCACTGGATAGAACTGGGAACGTGGAGCAGAGTCAAAGGCTTTCCCTCCCCTGGGCCATAGCATTTGTGGTTTCACTCTTCACCTTCAAGCCCCGCACTGCTTGCTGCATTTTTGCTCAGCTGAAGAAGTGCTGTGTTAGACAGCACCCCTCCATCCCCTCCTCTGGACCTTCACAGCTCCAGTTTTTTCTCTGGTGAAAGGACGAGGCAAAAGGCAACTGAGGTTTCCAGGAGAAACCCTCCCTTCCCAGGAGAAAGGCATTGCCAGCCCCATGGCTCCGGCTCGAGGCTGGACCCTGGGGAACCTGGCTGCCTGGCTCACTGCCGGCAGGAAGGCACCCGGGGCATGGCGGGCATCAGGCCCAGCTCCCCTGTCCCCAGCTGCCCTGGCTGGCCCCAGCGAAACCCTCCCTGAAGGAGGTCACACCTGCTATGTCATGACTGATGAAGGAAAAACCCCTCCTGCCTCTGCAGAAGCTCTTCCCAGCTTTGGCCGCTGTGGAGCCCACCGTGCAGGATGCTTCCGGGGATTTTGTCCTTGGTATGGGCACAGCTGGTGCCCACGAAGAGGTGAGGGCAGCACAAACCCTCACTCGCAGGGATGCAGCGGTGATTCGCCCCTCCCCTTGAAAATGGGGAAATAGACAGTTGTCCTGAGTGTCTTGGTGTTTTTATGAGGAATTTGATGGGAAGCCAATGCGGATGGGCAAAAGACATGCCTTGCCCATGCATCGCGAGCAAAAACCACTTTACTGTTTTGGGGGATTGTGATCAGTCTTATTTGCCAATTAACCATCTATTGACAACTGATTCTGGTTTAAAGAAAAATAAAACCAAACATACCCTTAGGAAAAACACCCCTGATTCCATCCCGGCACCACTCCCACCCGTTTTGTTGTTCTCTCTCCCCTCAGCACGGGACACCCCATCCCTTTGGCGAGGCAAGGGCTGTGCTGGGGGTTGGTGCCTGGAGGCTGCCCTGCTGGCAGCAGCCCCTCTAGTGTCCCTACTCAGTGGCCCATCTCCTCCTCCCTGCAGGGCCTTGTCCTCCCCTCTGGCCTCCTTCTCCCTTGGCTCTTAAATACTTCTCCACGGAGCCACCATTGCCTCCCCAGAAGGGTGCAGAGGCACCTCACGCCTCTGATGGCTCAGGGGCCCCACAGACTACCCCATTAGTGGAGTTTCAGCGGGAGGCCTGTGGGGGAGATGGCTGGGGGCAGTTGGTGGCCTGTTCCTTCACAGGGTACCCCACAGCCTCCTCCTCACTACCGAAACCTCGCCTGTTATGCCCAGTATACCCATGCAACTGGGGTGGATTTTGGACCAGGCTTGTAGCAGCTGTCAGGTTAATACTCGGCTGGGGCTGGGGAGGCTTCCAAGGCCGGGGTTGAAGGTGGGGAGCAGCTTTTCCCCGGGCAGGTCCCCCTCCTGCCCCCAGGGTATGGCTGGAGGCTGAGGTGCCCTGGAGCAGGGTCTGATACGAGGCCCAGGGACCTCGACAGGTCCAGGGTGAGGATGGGGCTGGGATGGCCATGTGCAGCACCGGAGCTGCAGGGAGACAGTGCTGGCCCCAGAGGACACTGGCACACACAAACCTCTTGCCAGCACTCGGGACCATCAGTACGCCTTTCCGCAATGCGCTGGCTGTTTCTGCTTCACAAGGACCCAACCCTCAGAATCACCCACAGGAGCCACACCTGGTGGTAGTGAGATGGGTAACGGTGTCGTTACATTTGCTTCTCGATCCCTCCAACCCTTCCCGGCGCTGTGGGCAGTGTGCACTGTGCGTGGCAGCTGGGCTTGCTGCAGCGCTCCTGCGGCAGGTTTGCTGCGCAGGGCCACATGGCAAAGGCGTTGGGGCTGGGGGTAGCCTGTGGCGGTTAAAGTTGCGATGTCAGCAAAACAGGTATCCAGGCATGCAGCGTCTGCTCAGACATTCGGGGTTCCTTTCCTCCCCTCCTCAGCCTCACTTTGTCTTACCCAGCTCTCCGCGTGAGTGAAGGAGAGGGAGTAGATGGTCTCTGCACCATGCAGGTGCCATGCTGATAAGGAGAGCACAAAAATCTGTTTAAAAATAAACCTGTAGTGCCTTGGAGAGCTCAGCTTCTCCACCTTGCTCTTCATGCAGTCTGGATGATACGGATCAGCTCGCTGCAGTGAGTTGATATCAGCATTAATTTTTGCTAGACACTGCTGTCACTAGAATTTAAAAAATCCAATTTGTTATCCCCTGCGGTACACAAGGCGCTCTCTGAATGGAAATGGGGGAACTGATGTGCCTGAGAACACCTGCACCAACCGTAGGGAGAGGTGTCATCTACTGCATGCAGCTCAGCTGTGTGTTACCTCTGCAGCCTACTGACAGCCATGGTGGGATATCAGCTTTTTGCTCAATCTTACTGCTGAACAAGAACTGTAAGAAAAGTAAAGGTCAATTCTGTCAGGAAAAAAGTCAGTTTACAAGATAAAGTATTCTTTTTAATGGAGGACCAAGGGGAGAAGTGGCGGGGAGAGACTCTTCCACTTCGCACCCTGTCCAAACAGAAGGAGCAGGTTTTGTCCTGTTGGTGTGGTGACTGAGAAGAGTTTCGCTCCCTGTGTTTTCAGGATGCTGCTGTGGATGATGCAGTGTTACGGAAGAAAGAGCAGAAAGATGTTGAACTCGATAAGAAAATCCTGGCGTTGCGGAAAAAGAATGAAGCGCTTATACGAAGATACCAGGTGAGTCTGCAGGTGCTGACCTTCCCCAGCTCCGTTTTGGAGTTCACAACTCACAGGGTAAAGGAAATGATTGGCAGTGCCCAAGTGACTTTGTTATACAGAGAACATTTACATCGGAAAGTGTTCGGAGCAGATGGGCCTTTAGCTACAGCTCCTGAGTCGCATTAAAAATCAGGCTCACTGATGCTTGCTGTGCTGCTGCAGCTTCTCCTCTTGCCCCGCTAACTTTCTCGATCTCTATCAAACCTTTCCCACCCCTTCACCTCATATTGCCCTGACTTATTCCCCATCTGTCCTCCCCAGTGCCTTATGTCTATCCTCTTGGATGCATAGGAGGTTGCATCCTCAAGACATTTGATATATGTGTTTCAGGAAATAGAAGAGGACAAAAAACGAGCGGAGCAGGAGGGAATGGCGGTCACCTCCAGGAGACCCAAGCAAGACGGACTCACTATTACCATCACCAAAGCTCACAACGTAAGTGCTGCCTCTCCTTCACCACTGGCCAGCTCTCACTCCAGTCCTACCTCAGCAGTGACATCTCTGAAAGAGTGAGCCTCTTCAGCAAAGCTTTTTCAGGCATGGGACATAGCTCCTAAGCCCTCACAAAAGGATATAAAAACTCTGTGGAGTTGTATGCTCAGAGTAACTTTAACTGCTCAACATAAATTTCCAGCCATGCGCAGGCACCTGTACCCAAGCACGCAGAATTGAGAGGCAGAGGAAAGAATGTGAAAGGAACACTTGGCCCTGGATGCGTCCCTGGTGTGAACATTGCAGCGAACACGTAGGCAGAACCTGTCAGGTGTATGTGTGTCTCTGGGAGCACCAGGAACGCCTCTGAGGATGGCTGGGCAAAGTCATGGTCTCCTTAGGCTTTGTGAGTGAATGAAGCAAGCAGCCTTTGGTTGCTTTGGGGCTTCCCACAACTGGGGCAAATGCCGCAAGTCCCAGGTTTCCTTCCTAACCAGACCAAATCTGTGTCTGACACGTGCTGTCCATCCCTCCTGGCAGTGTGGGGTTTGGTAAACCACCTGGCCAGTCCTGCTTTAACCCCTGGGTGAAGCCCTCTGCCAGCGCGAGCGTGGAGCTTGCTGAGTCAGCCCACCCTCCTTCCATCCAGTCGATGCTCCCGGGTTGTTAGATCCAGGGTAGCGCGTTGCTCACGTCTCAACCACGCCCCGGCCCGTGCTCTTCTCTGGAGGTGCACTGTTGCACACATTTTTCTCTCATACAGGACCTGAAAGATGCAATTACCCAGACTGAACACTATGGACAAGATAGCCCAGCCCTCTCGATGGTGAGCACGACCCTCAGGAGCCATCCACTTGGCTTCCAAGGCCATCTCCATCAGGACTTAGGCTTTCCCGATCTAACTCAGAGTGCTGCAGAAAGAGATGAGGATGACATTTGTTTCCTTTAACTCTGGCATTTTAGACTGAAATGTCAGATTTGTAAGTGCAAAGGATTTTCCAGACCCGCTGTAGTTGTGGGTTTCGCTGCTGAGCAGACAACGAACCCCTTGTTCCCTAGGAATGTCACGGCACCGTGCCGGGCACAGAAAGCTTGCCTGGGGCAAGGCCTGCTTTTCCTGTAGCTGGCCTCCCCACTCGCGTGCAGGTGTTTTTGGGGAAGGGAATTGCATTGGTGAGCTGCAGCACCTGGGTTTGCTAACAGAAGTTACTCATTTTCCAGGACAAAAGGGTGGTGAGTGAGAAATGGGGGAACCCTTGTCCTACGAGCCCTGGGTTCGGCATTGATAGCGAGGAAGAGGAGGAGGAGGAGGAAGCAGATCATATGTTCACATTCAGGATGGGAAAGAGGATGCAGCTGGCTGTTACCATGGACAACAAAGCCAAGGTGAGTAGAAAAGAGGATTCCTCTTACACTGCAGCCTCTTGACTTACAAAGAGGCTTCTGTTCTGCCTCTCACTTGAGCTTTCTGCTCAGCATGTTGCCTGGTGTCTTGTCTCCAAAGAGAATAGTTCCCTTCCTGCTCCTTCTCTCTCATTTCTCAGTCATTCAGCATAGCCTCAGTCTTCACCTCGAGTTGCCGCGCGCTTTCCTCCCCACATCTGATTCACAGGAATCAGCCCCCAAGCTTTGCTAAACCTCCCAGGGGCTCCAGCCAGCCATGCGTAGCCAGTGCCCTTTCTGAGAGATCAGTCACCTCATTGCCCTCCTGGGCCACCAGCAGGTTTGTTAAACTGTTGCTGTGCCTGGAAAGAGGATGGAAATAGGTGGGAGCTTGGACAGATCTAGCTGCATTTCTCCCCAGCTATTCCCAGGGAGGCAGTGATGTTTGGGGATAAAACCAGCATCATTTCTCCCCGCTACTGTGTTCCAGAAAGTCCCAAATGCCAAAGAAAACAGTGTGATGTGAGTATCTGTTGCAGCTGCCAACGTGATGGGCAGAAAATGTGACCCAGTATTTGCAGGCTTAATTAAAAACCATGCAAAGAGGCAAAAGTAATTGAAAATGCTACTTCGTTTTTTAAATCCCAAAACATCCCCTCCTGGGTGCTGCCCCGTTCCTTGCGGTGTCTGTGCATCTGGATGGAACGATCTGATGGCAGCTTTGGCATGTCAGGACTTATTTGCTGAGAAGGGTTTGATAAAACTTTGGCAGTTGTCATTGGCAGCTCGTCCAAGGAAGTACGTGCCTGTATGAGCTTCACACTCTATTTTCTTCACTTGGGGTGTATCTCGGTATGATCTTGTTGTCACTGGAGTTAGTGTGTTTGACCACTGAGATAAATAGGAACAAGGATCAGAATTGCCACCTTCCTTGGAAAAATGTGTATCAGCGTGCACAGGTGCACCCGGATGGGAACTCGGGGAAGCTCTCCCGTTAGTGAGAGATCTCTGGAGGGAGATGGTTGCTGCAGGTGATATTTGTTGCTGTTGAATGAATACAAGTGGCAATCTTACCTATTTATTGATGGGGACTAAGGAGACACCAGTGAGATGATGGGAGGCACAGCCCCTTTGCGCTGACCATGTCAACGTGGAGGGGACGGGAAGCCTCAGCTGGCCCTGCACCTCGCTGAGGCCTGGGGGTGGACAAGGCGAGCTCCTGCCTCCATCGCGGCAGCGCTGGGAAAAGGAAACGGTGGCAGCAAATGCTGCTCCCCTGGGTCCCCTTTCAGGCAGAGCAACATGCTTGGCCCACAAGATGAGAGCAGGCTTTTTTGAACCGAGGTCCAAGCCAAAGAGATTCCCCAGGGTAATGAAGCAAAACCTCACCCTTCCTGCTAGCCTGGTGCTTTGGGGTAGGAGTGCTGAAAACCTTGGCTCTACACAAAAGGCAGAGACATTTCTCCCTCTGATGCAGCTTGGAAATATTTTTCTGTGTGCCTCGAATGCCTTTTTCTTTCTGTTTCTCCGTGACCTAGTTACCCTTTCTTTCCATGAAGAAATAGACCACAATAACTGCGCCACTCTCAAGTCATTATATGTTACCTTGAAGGAACGGAATCATTTAGGAAATAATGCACCTTTCAGAACAATTTTTCAGGAGAAAGGGCCTGAGGCCTCTCACTGCCTGTGTTCCAGATAGATTACCAGTAGCGCGAGCATCCCCTTCAAACGAAATCTCATTCCAGCACAAACAAACCACCTCCTGATGTAAGGGGAAAAATTCTGGTTTTTCTTAGAACAGAGGGCACACAGCAATCTGACCGTCCTCATTACTGACGGAGCTGTACCAATACAGTCCTTGAGAGTCTCCGCAAGGTTTCTCCTGGCTATGGAGCTCTGCACGGGGCACTTATATTTGAGGCAATTACATCCGCAGAGCGAGCGGCTCTTGCAGACAAGCTGCGTCCCCCGTAGCCATTTCCATAATCTATAGCTCAGAATTCAAGTCCAGGATGGGGATTTGTATTAGCACAAAGCACTGGCAGCTAAATCGCATTGCTGCCTTAAACTCTGTGCCAGTGTTTTCCAGCTTGGCCAATTAATAGACCCCTGAGATTTTTCTGCTGGAAACGCAGACCTCTGGAAATTTCCCGTAAACTTCACGTCCGATGGTATATACACATTTGCTGCATTAACTGCCTTTCGCAGGCCTTAGCAGTCCTCCACGCTCTCCTGAGTGTTGGTGTAAAGCACAACCCAGCAGCCTGACTTGATGACAGAGGAAAACTGATTTATTGGTGAATGTTCCAGTGGCATCAATCCAAAACCTTCCTTGAGTTACTTTAAATATAGTTTTCAAAATGAGTGAGTAGGAAGCGCGTGGGACTGTAATGGGTGAGTGGGAAAAAATATTAGGATTTTGGACAAAACTGTGTTTGATATCATGTGGAGTACAAGCTTATTTGTTGCTGCTGCCCTGTTAAAGCATCCTCTGGGCAGCTGAAGGTTAAAAGAGGGTAGATAATTTGCTTCAGCTTCCCCCTGAGCAAGGCTTACCAGGTGTCCCTGGAGAGACTTGCTTGGTGGTACTGGGATGGCTAAATGGGCCATCACCATCCTTCCTATGACCGTTGCAAGGTTCCAGCAACAGAGTAGCTGGGCTGGGCAGAAAACCATTGCCATTCGGTCCTAACTATCACACATCACTGTAGAGCAAGAAGCCCCAAAGGAAAGACAGCTGGAAAATCACATAAACTGGACATTAGTCCAGGATTTCCCCTTGTTCTTTTTCCTGCCCCTCCTCAGACGGGTATTTTTGCAATCTGAGACATACCTCAGACGTCGGATGGGCACTTCTCAATTTATGGTTTGTCAGTGGATTGCGACAAGGGAAGCAGCATAGTTTTGCCTGACTGCAGCTAAACAGCTAAGTGCCAGAGGCTCGAATCTCCCGCAGGCCGAGAGTGAGCTGGGCCGGGCCCTGCGGAGGGGAAGAGGTGGCTCTGCCAGGCACTGCCTGCTCTTTGGGCCCCACTCTCTGTTCCCGTTGGCTCTGCGTGGGCACTTTCCTCATCTGACATCTCTCACCTTGGGAGCAGCCCACTGCGGGCCAGGATTTCCCACTGTGGGATAAGCAGTCTAGGAAATCACTCGTGTTCTTAAAATAATAAGCAAGTGAAAGAAGACACATCAGTATTTTGAGCAGATTGTGCCTTCAGGCGTTGCATCTTAGCTGGAAGCAATATGGGGAGCAAGGAAGGGAGGGAGAGAGGGTATTGCCTAGAAAAGCTGGTGGTCTCCCAGCCTGTATGTCTGTAGCTATCACAGCTCTGCTAAAGAGATATTTCCTGTGTCAGCCTCTGAGTTTTCCTTGCCATCTGCTCAGTAAACTGCAGGGTTTAATGGCTTTGCCAACGTGCCAGCCTTCCCCCTGTGACTTTTAACATCTGACAGCCCAGGGAAGGTGCCGCCTCCCTGTAAACCCAGCAGTGCTTTTGGGGCTTCCGTCCTGCTCACGCTGGTCAGGTACAAGGCCCTCTGCGATGCTTTGCTGGTTTTCGGGTAGCAGCTTTGCTGCCGCTTACACTCAGGGCCCGTGTCCCTCCGCAGGATGGACTCTCTCCAAAAGCAAGCGATGAAACCACCTTCCAAACACACCTGCCCAGTGCTGGGCCTTCCTGGCAAGAGTTATTTGTGGCCATGTTCTTTGTCTAAAGGACAGGCCGTCACCTCCTAAACAGTGAGGAGCTCTAGGGAACAGCTGTTGACTTAAGCTAGAATTAATGCTTGGTGTACAAGTTAGGGATCAATAGCTTGCTATTCCCTTGCTAAGCCATCACTGGCCTTACTTTCTTAATAACACCACCCCCCCACCCCCATTAACTAGAATGCTAAACACCTCCTGTTGGTGCTCTGGTTAGGGTGGAGCAGCCTTGTATACACCAAATCCAAAACAGGGGACCTGCCTTTGTCCCTGTCGTGACTCCACTCACATTTCTGGCGTTAAGTCACAGACCCATGTAGGGGGCCTCAAAAAACTGCTAAGCATTTTAATTCCATGTCTTCAGGCATAAGAGTTCAGTTTTCCTTATCAAGGGGAACTGTGAAGCACACACAAGGATGCCGATCACTTCATCCTTTCTAGCTGTGGGAGAAGGTTTAAATAGAAAGGCTCAGGACTGGTTTTCGTTACCTCTTCATCGCAATGGGAAGTGTTTTGGAACACACGTGATTCAGTTAGCATAACTGTGCAAGCTACTGTGTAAGAGGTGTCCATTTACAGTCTTTAATGAGAGAGTTAAGTAAAACTGCATTTTCCTGTCTTCATCACAAGGTAGGAGCACCGGCATGGCCTGCTAGTGCTGATACACAGTAGCTTCCTAAAATGACCATGTTGATACTGCATTTCTGAGCTACTAGATCATTTCAGCATAACTGCCGGCATGAATGAGACCAGAGGATACTCTTGTGGCCACAGACATTGCCCCATGAACCCAGAGGGGATGGCAGGAGAAATTTGTAGCTTCCAATTATCCAGCCCAGCTCTGTGGTCTGACATACAAGACCAAGATAGTCTGTTCACAAGGTTAATTTTTACTTCCACCCGCATGACTAATACTGATTTGACATGATGGAAAACCACACTGGTTTCTTCGACTGCAAGCAGAAGTCCTACGCTGACCGTTCTAATTCGTCTCCAGTTTCACTGAAATTTAGGAATAAAATACATTAATCATAAAACATAAAAAGGACTTGAAATATCCATTTCATTTTAAAACATCTTGTGTTTGTGTTGGCTAATAGTTCTGGGAATGGAACTATGTCACCTTTGGAAGTGATGTGATTCAGTCAGTCAGAAGCAGGTGCCACTTAAAAGTGTCGTGGCTGACGGCTCCTGAATTCTGGTCTGTACTACTTGGTTCTAGTTGTATAAAAGCCAGAGCTGCAGAAAACAGGCAGAATTACTAAACCTGTACTTGTATATTAAATCCACTACTTGCATACCTCTGCACACGTGCATGCACTGCAGGTGAGCTTTGGCTTTCCTGACTCCATCCCTGCGTGCCCAGGTCCTGCTCCTGTAATATTCCTTGACAGCCAGTCCCTTTCCACCTCCTACACACTCGCTTTTTGCATTTAAGTTCAACCAACAGCTCCCTGGCTCTTTCCACACCAGCTCATTTTCTTGTACAACAGCTTATGTCCTTGTGCCTTGTCCATGAAAACCAGTCAGGTCTCCTGGGCTCCTTTCCCCTTCAAGACACCATCCTGCAAGATCCTGCGTTCCAATTCCCTGAACAAGTCAACGTCTGCTCTCCAGAAGCCCGTGGTCTCTAGTCTGCTGCTCACCCTCCTTACTGCTCTCAGGCTCCTAAAATCCGCCGTCTTCTGGTCACTGCTGCCAAAGCTGTCGTCGACCTTCACATGTTCAACCAGTTCTGGCTTTATTTTAGGAATCAGGCAGTCACTCGCTAAGCTGCAGTAATGCAATCACTTGTAACGTCACGACTGCAGTGGGATGTGGAATTAAGGGCAGTTTAGCATGCCCTGTTCGTGGAGGGGGAGCAAAGCTAGGCTTTCACAGCACGTCACATTCTGGTTTTAAGTTTCTGTCTCTGCCTGGTCCCTGATAAAATCATCTCCTTCTTAAGACAGATACAGAGTCTGAAGTCTTTAAAAGAGCTCACAGAGGTTGTAGGTATGGGGGCTTTTCCAGGACATGTATCCTGGCTGCAGGTGAAAGTACACCTAATCGTCAGGCTGTGGTAGATGCCAAGACAGTTGTACTCTGTACTTGTGTGCCTGTTCTCCGGACTATCAGATTTTACTCTCTCAGGAGAAAGATCTTGACATGCCTGGGGCTGGCTCACAGGTGTTGGTCCACAGCAGCAGTCAAAGCAGGAGGCTGCACTGACACCAACACAGGGAACAGCACAGAAGGTACGAGAATGGCATTGACAGATTGGCAGCAGATCCTTGCTTTGAGAGAACATGTGGCTTCAGTTATTTCAAGAAAAGCAGAAATAGCAAGGGTCCTGCTAAGGGCAGCAAAACTTGTCAGGAGGTACAGCTGACACCTAAACCAGAGCTGTATGTACTCAAGGGAGCGTATGAAAAGGTTCCCACCACGTCACCCAGCTCTGGCAGACAGAACCAACGGCAGGGCAGGGACCCGCTCCTCTCATGTGCTCCACGCTAACTCAAGAACTATCTCTGCTGAGACAGCAAAATCACACAGATGTGGAAGAAGAATAAACAAGTGACTGCAGGCCTGATGCTGGAAATGTGCCAGTACCTCCTAAAACATTTAGCATCTGTTAGGAAGCTCAGTGACTGGACAAGTGATAAAAAAGGTCCTGCTGACGGAGGCTGTCTGCAGCAAGGCTCCCTCCACGCTAACATCTGCACTTCTGGCAGAGCCAAGTGAAGACGGGGCTGATGCGAGACATCTTGATATCATGTGTCACGGCAGATTCACTGGTGCTTGCAAGACTTTCACATGAATCTGAGGTCAGTGTGTGCTGTTTGTTTTTGAAACCAAGCAACAAAGAGTTCCCAAGTTTTACTCGTTTATTTGCGATTTTAAGCTCCTTTGGAATCAAGGTTCCAGTATGTGTAGATGTCCAAGGAGAAAAACACAGGAAAATACACCATCCTTTAAAAAGGGCAGCTTCTGGGGTTGTTCATCCCTGGTGAAGTCGGGCAGAGGAATCATACAGATGGAGAGGGAAGAAAAAAGGTCAGCGATAAAGACGGGAATGACTTGCTAAGTCTCCCATTCCCCTGTAAGGCAAAAATAAAAAGGCACATGATGGAACTGAAAGATGATACTTTTAGATGAGAAAAAGTATGTATTTTTTGTACAAAAGATGTGCTCATTTTATGGAAGCGAGGGCTGAGGGCACTGGCAGGAGCTTAGCCAGCAACAAAGATAATGAACAAAATAAGAACCAGATGTAAATCCATGCAGCAAAGTCAGGAACTGATACAGACAGCTGGAAATAATATCTGCAAGGGGCAAACTGCCCTTGTTCAAGGAGTTTACATATCAGTTTTCTAAACTATTCCACTGCTCAATAAATCATTCCAGAAATATGAAGGCACAATAGATGAGGATGATAAATTATCGAGTGTTGATACTCTTCAGGGTAGTAACTGCTTTGTGGGCAAGGTTGGAGAGAAACCGCTGCTCCCTCCTCTTTCACCCACGAGGTTTCTGCTCCAGTGTAGCCTCACATTTTATTGGGACATGTTGTTGGTGACAGGACAACTTCACGTCTGTTTCAAGGACAAAAATGCAAGAGGAGGTTACCTGTCTAAAGCAAACTCGGCTCTCGGAGTTCATGCTGCAAAGCATCTGAACAGGGTAAACCCCCCCACACCTAGTTGTGCTCTGATAAACACGCCTGTGTAACACTACGTGTGCCTTAAAGTAGGGTGGCAGCCTTATAAACCAGGAAGACTCTCTGGCTCATGTTTCTGTTCTGCCACACCAAAACCCTTTGCAGTTTTGAGGACGGCCACTCTCCGAGGAAGGGCACTGCACAGGGCTGAGGGAGGTGTCATTAACTCATCCTGTCCTTTGCAGGGCAAGCGCATCGTCAGTGAGAAACGTGCCGAGTGCTTCCCTGGCCCGGGCAGAGTACCAGACCTGAGCGAAGAAGAGACAGACCATTTGGTGGCTTTCCGCCGGGGGAGGAGGATGCAGATTGCCATCACCATGGATAACAAGGAAAAAGTAAGTGCATTGCGAACGGCTGGGCTGCAGCACAGCAGGGGTGTCCACTGATTCTGCTGGCATGAGAAGGGCCATGGGGACAGGTTAGGAGCTTGCCCAGCACCAGGACACTGGGAGAGACTATATATTGATAGTGTGGAGCTTATCACTGTAAAACTCTCCAGCTTCCATCTGCTGTGGGAGAGGAAAGGCTTTCCCCTCTCTGTGATCCTAGCTAGAGCTAGCAGGCTTTTAAACAAACTAGCACCATAAGAAATGTCAAATGCTGGCTTGGGTGGATTGATGGAAGCAGTGCCTGATATGGGGCAGCAATCTCGCCTCCTGTCTCTTACCACCACCTTTTTGGGACCCTACAGCAGATTAGTCAGGAGCGCTGTCCTCTTGGCTCACGGCCCAACTTAAAAGTTAACAGAGCTGGGCAATATCTGCTTCTAAACCCACCTCCTGCTGTGCCAGGCCATAACCTTCTGGGTGAGCTGGCTGAACTTTGTTAATCTTTGAAACATATTTCAAATACCTCCTTGCAAATACCCTCCTCTTTACACACTCAGAGGCTTGTGATATTTTCCTATTTGAGAGTTTGCACAGATAAGTAAGAATGCCGGCAGCAAACAGGGTCAGCAAGGCTGTGAAGGAAAACAACACTTGGCGTAGCTGCCAAACACACCCAGGAATACTGGGAGACCTATGCAGCACCCTCTGGGACAGCAGCCAACCATCTGCTAACTGCCCACGTTAATCTTCAGCTTCTACTCCTCCCTGGAGCTTACCTAGGTTCCAAAAGCCCATGTGCTCCTTTCTCATGGCTACCACACAGCCTTTTGAGTGCCGTAATCCTCGGACGGGCTGTCTGATAGCGCCACCAGTAACTATCCGTGTCTGGACCTGATGTGGGACGAGTGACCCCGCCATGCCCATGCTGTAGCTGTCCTTGCGGCTGTCAGTGTAATTCCGTCGGGTGCAGGGCCAGTCTCTCCACTTCTGCTCTTGCTGGGCTTGGTTAAACACTTGTCTCTGAGGTCACTGAGGCTGGGACTGTGCTAGGAGAGAGCAGCAGGAGTGCCTAGAATTTGGTTGCAGATCCTGAGCCCTGCCTTAAAAGTGTATGGACAGCCCTGGAAAAGGTAATATCCACATGCTTTTATTACTGCCCATGAAATCTGAGGCTGAGGGTCCACAGATGTGATTTTGGCGATGCCTTGATCCCCAGAGCAGTGAGATTCAGAGCGTGCATGCGAGCAGGCCTGCAGCTGCACTAGCTTAAAGCCACGTCTGCCTACACCTTTTTCCATGAACCACTGAAGAGCTGCTGTTTGAATAGCAGGCTGGCAAAGAGGGTGTGAAGTCCCTACGGCCTGGCAGGTTTGATTTTGGTGATTCAGCAGAGGTTGGCGTCTTGGGTTTTGCTCCTGCTACTTTCAGTTCCCGCTGTGCTACCATTCGTTTAAGCTCACTGATTCCCAGTGAATGCAGTTACCTCCATAAAGCAGGTCAAGGCGCTCACATCACTCCATCAGCCCTCCTCTCCTCAATTGCATGCAGTCTCAGTGGTCTTCACACAGCTTGGCCTAGAAGGTGATCCTGATAATCCCTAGGAATGCAAATAACTCTGCTGCTCCTCCTCAGATCCAAAGTTCATTTAAAGTCTTCCCTTTGTTTTTCCCTCAATCCAAACCCAGTCACTCGGTTGGCAGAGGGCAGGAGTGAGGCTCAGTCACCCTTGTAGCATAGCGGGTTGTGAGGAGGCCTGAGCCTGCTGCTGGTGAGGTCCACAAGGAGAAGGGCTGTGGAGAGCCATGTGGTGCCATCACACCTTGGCTGAACGAGAGAAGGATCTCTGTCAGGAGCACAGGAAAGCCAGAGGCTTCATATAACTCTAGCTACCAAACAACAGGACTGAGGAACAGTATATGCCTTCAGGATTGCTTTAGACTGAAATGAAGATTCGTTTTGCTTGGCCTCCTCCTCTTCTGGCTGGACAGATAGCCTGGCAACAGCAGCCTTGGACAGCGTTACTGGCAAGGCCCATTTAGCGACAGCATCATGCTTCTTGCTGGCACTGAGAAATTGAGTGCTGCTTTCCGTTACTGAGCTTAGAAGTATACCTTCCCCTGCCTTTGGAAGCTCATGGAGAGCAGGGTGGGCGCCTGCTGCTCCCTGGAAGGCAGGGCGCTTTCATGGACCACATGCTCTCCCAGGGAGCAAGCAGGGGGCTTGCCACAGAGCACACTTCCCACAGCTGGGAATGGAGGGACTGGAAGAAGATGTTAATGAATTTATGTTAAAAATGGGCTTTTGTGGAAGTATTTATTGTTGTTCTTTGGGTTCCTCTTATCACTTAGAAAAAGTGTCTGAAACTCTGATTTACAATACCTCTTACCAGCTGGATATGTTTCAGAGTCCAGCTGAGGTCAGGAGATTTCCTTATTCCTGGTGATTTCCCTAGACTGATCAGGCCCCGTTCCATCCCCAGTTAATGAAGATATCTTCATATAGCCATTTTAATTGTGCAACTTCAGACAACAGCTACAGCAGCCGAGACAAAACCCAGCTCTCACTACACAGACACCTTACAATGCGACAACCGGATGTGGCTGTAAGAAAGCGAAATAGCTGGATTTCACGGTCACCTCTGTGAGCCTCTTTCGTCCATCTGCACTTGGTCAACCTTTTCCCAGGATCAGTGACAGAAGCAGATGGGGCCTGAAGTGACAGGTCACATTGGCATGTCGCATCCTGCCAGCTTGGGCTGATGGAGTCGAGGGAGATTTGCTCTGGCCCCCTCTGTCACTTCAGCTGTTCCTAAGCTGCGTTAAGGATTAGCGTTTTAAACAAGTGCTGCTTTTTACTGGTGCCGGGAAAATGGAAACCAGGCGAGTCTGGCTCACATGCTGTGCCTCAGAGCCGTGCGTTTCTCCAAGAGGCACTGCGAGACTGCGGTGCAGAAAGCAGCTCAGGGTCTGTGATGCCAAAATGTATAAAACGCAGGATTAAATAACTGTAGCCTGCAGAACTCAGTGTGTGTCACAGGGACGTTGAATACAGTAAGTCATTTTGGAAATGGAGGCTGAATCCCACCAGTGCTGGTGGGATCAGAGCATCCACAAACCCTGGCAGCCCTGGGCTTGTTCCCGCTGCGTAAACAGGGTTACAGCATGCCTCTGCCATTCTAGCTGCGACAGGCATGTGAGCGATGCCAAGCGGCTCGCGCTGCATCACTTTGGGGAAGCTGGTAAACAGGGAACCAGCGGGTAAACAGGGAAGCTGGAACCCAGCGCCACCCCAGCGCTGCAGAAGAGCCGGGAACTGCCCCGTGAGGGCCACGCTCTAACAGGGGGGTCCGTGCGGCAGCGTTTGCACCCACAGTTTGCAGCAGCAGCCAGCAGCGCAGCGTCAGGGAGAGCCAAGGACCAGGGAAGCCTGCAGACATCCCTCCCCTCCGCTCGCCAGCCCCCACGTTAGGGGCCCGCTCTGCCAAGAGCAGCATTTTCCTCCTGGGCGGGCTTTTCTTGCCTCAATTCTGATCTTTTTGTCTTCTGAGTTCACCTAAACTTTATCCCCCACATCATCTCCAGCCAGGAGCTGCGATGTGAAGTGACACATCCCTTTTCCTTCAGTCCCGACAGCTCTGTCTGACGTTCCTGCGTCACGTGGAGCAGCACGCAGACTGTCCCCTGTTCACTTTCCCAAAGCACAAACGATTTTACCGACCCATTTCACATCTCCCTTCACCCATCTCTTCTGCAGGCTTAAGAGATCCTATTTAGAATGTTTGGTGAGGAAGTACATCCATATTTCTGATTGCTCTCATTACCCCTGTTTGTGCCTTTGTTACTTTTACTGTGTTCTTTTAATACATGAGGACCAGAACTCTATGTGGTATTCAAGTTGCGGGCTCTTGTGGGTGTATCAGCAATGTAACTGTGTTTCCAGCTTGTTCTCTATTCTTCTCCTAACAACTTTGCATTTTCTTTGCTTTTTTCCTAAATAATTGAGCTAGCATTTTCAGAGAACTAGTCACAATAACACCAAAAATGTCATTCCTGAGTCTTAATCACAGTTCAGGCTTTATTACTCTGTATGTGTATAAGAAGGAGCATTTTTCTCCCTGGGAGTTATTTTGTATTATTGATATTGAATCTCATCTCTAATTTTATGATGCAGGCATTCAGTGTCAGGAGATCTTTTGCAACTCTTTCCTGGCAAATTACATTCTTTGCCCTGGATGATTTAGTGTCATCAGCAAACTGTCATCTCTCTATTCAGCTCCTTTTCCAGACCATTTATGAGCATGTTGAGCTGTGCATGTTCCAGTGGCACACCCCTGCTGGTCTTCTCCGTGGAAACTGGCATTTTCTTGCCACATTTGGTTTCCTATCCTTTAATTAGTTGTTAATCCAAAAGAGAAACGCTGCTGGCAGAGCCTGATGGGGTATCTGGGTTGTCATTGGAGTAGCTGTGTGTTAGGACCTGAGCTGAGGCCCCCCAACTGGAGTGATAGCTTTCAGCCTCCCTTATTACCCAGCACAGTCCATCCTTTGGGTTTTGTGCCTTGTGCTGCAGCTGGTTCCCTGTTCATTCTGGGTTATTCGTGTTCTCCCTCCCAGAGAGACTTGTGGTGCCTAGGAGAGAGGATCACATCCGTCACTCCCCTTCGGGAACATCCCAGAGCCTGGCCTCCTCCTCTATGCACTTGCCAAATTTATCCTATTAAAGCATTTGATGGGCACCCTCGTTATCCTACATTTTTCTCTATTTTTATTCATGGTGAAATTCAATAAAAAGAAAAAAGGAGGAAAAAAACCCCTCCCAATCTTGCTACCCTCGGTGCTTCTAGCTAGCACCACGTTGTCAGCCCCAGACTGCATCGCTGCTGGCAACACACAGAAGCTGCCCAGGAGGAAATGCAAGATAAAAAAGCTGTTCTTGTGATTTTCTCTTCTGAAACACCCCCTTATATTACCCTGCCATCTTGGAGCCTGAGTTTTCCTACCCAGGGAACAACTCCCTGTTAGCACAGGGAGCTGGGGGGACCAAATTATCCTGCCTCCTTGCAGAACGAATTAGCCTGAGCACGTGGCTCTACGGACGCAACTTGCCAGTGGTGCTGCCTGGCTGCCCTTAGGTCTGCAGCAGGGCTCTCCCTGCAAGCAGGGCCGGGGATGGTGCCTCATGTGCACCAGTTTTCCTAAAAAGCCACTCCACGCTCTGGCAGCGTTTCAGGGTCATTAATACATTAGAGCTGCAAGCTGGCAGTCCGGGACCAGTGGAGCACAATGGTTAATTAGCAGGTTACAAATCATCTTTTAAATGGACAGTTGATGGGGCTTCAGGGCTTTTAAATTGTTCTTTTATTAACAGACTTGCCCAGGATGGTGTATCAGAAATGCCTGTTTGTAATCAAGAGACACAAAATCTGCTTCCAGGGACTCATGCGGATGAGTGTGACTCCCGCGCTTGCATGGGAGAGGAACCAGACCTGTGGTGGGACAAACACTTTGCAGATGGAAGGGGAAAACAGGCAGAAAGGGTGGCTAAAAAAGCTTTAGATCCCTTCAGGCAGCAGAGTTAGTAGGCAGATGTTTCAAAAGAGGTAGAAAAAGATACCCTCTCATGTACTAGTTTCAAAGATCCTGCCCAGTGGGGGACCCGAGCCCTGGGAAACCAACTTTAAGCTCTCACAAAAATTTCCTCCTGCAGCAGAAATTTTTAAAATAAGAAGATAGTGGAGTAACCCAGAGACGTGGAAACCTGTCAAAGCTTTTGGAATGGAGAACTGTTACTACCAAACGAATCTTAACACGGTGGATAATGGCACCAGCATCCTCACCCTTAGACATTAACTTTAGCTGGGTATAGGCACGTCGGGAGGTCAGACAAACCCGGAGTCAGAAAACATGTGGGATCCTAGGGCCGTGTCCTGGTTAGGAGTGAGCTCAGCCCCCTACCTTCCAGACCATTCCATGGCTGAGAAATAGAGAAATCCTTGTGTAAATCTCAGGATAAACAAGTGTAATCTTCCCGGTCTACTTCAGGGTTTTGTTCCCTCCTCACGTCTCCTCCCCTGCTGTGCAGGAACAGTTAAACTACGAGGTGATAATGTCATTGTCATATTTCATAATTTTGGGGGCGGAGAGGAGGAAGGAGGAGAAAAACATGTTTTGCTTCCCCGTGGCCTGGGTGTGTCATAACAGGCCAACAGCAGCTCTGGGCAGCACGGAGCGGGCATGAAAACCTGCTCCTGCACCAGCGCGAAAGCAAAGCTAACTGTGTGCTCTGAACTGCATAGTTCAGACCTGCTTCCCTGCTAGAGAAGAACTGGATTTTTTTGGTCCTCCCTGTTTTCCACAGTGCACTTTGAGAAGCCAAAGTAGAAGCAGACTAAGGAGAAAGGCAGCCTGGCTTTGAGCAAGAGGGACGAAGGGATGGAGAGCTGGACAGTGTCCCTGTCTGTGGCATGCATCGAAGAGCAAGAGCCCAGAAGGGCAGGGCTTCGGGGATGCAGGTCTCTGGCATGGACCACCTGCAGGAGCTGTGTCTTCTCCTGCGTCTCATGACCTGCAGCACGGTCCCACAGCCGGAATGTGTGTCCCAGCACATTTCCTGGGTGCAGCCTCGCTCTTCACTCCTCCTTGGGAGAGACAGGGCCGAAGTGCAGCTGCGCTGGGCTGCAGAGACACACTGCTCCCCCCGCAGCTTATGCACGCCCTGGCTCGGTGCTCCGGCTGTGCGGATGCTCTGGCTTTCCGGTTCCTGTCTTCTGGGACACAGTCAGGCATTGTAAAGGCTCCAAACAGAATCATTCTTTGCATGAGCTTGCATGAGAAATATGCAGACTCGCATGAAACAATAAGCACGCCCATGCGGCTCCCTGCCTCAGTTTCCCCATCAATCATGAGCTGTCTTCAGCATTTCCGATGCAATCCGGCTGCTTCTCTCCTCCCACACAAGGTTTCCCCCAGGGACAGAGGGGCTCCAGCTCTCCTGCAGCAGCTGGCTCCTTTGTACTCTAAGTGATGAGTTTCTTTTACAGCTGCTTTAAAGGCCAAACATCCATCTGCACCCCGCTCCCCAGCCAGGCTCCTCACATAAGTGAAGTTTCCAGGTTTCTGCTGGTTTAATCTCTCTGTAAGTTCACAGTCTCAGTTTGGGGCTGCAGAGACTTGTTAGATCCCTTGCTATGAGCTCTTCAAATGGGGCAGTTGACTTTGAGCCTGGAGGGAGCATTTTTGGTTCCTTAAGTTTTCGCAGCAACCTTTCAAAACAAATACCCAGCATCGTCTTTCATCATATCCTGGTCCATTTTGCAGCAGGCCAGGTTATGATGAGGGACTGGCTTCTCTGAGTGCAGACCCCCTCACATTTATTCCCAAACCTTCACTTAAAAACCCTAGGACAACATAGCTAACGTCTTCCTCATCATTCCCCAGGATCTGTTTACACAGGCGTCCACCGGTACTGGAGTACACCAGCTGGACACCAGTCAGAGCAGTGAAGCTGTCGTGCACCGGGAGCAATGTCCATGAGCACACTCACCCCCTGTCCCAGATTTAACACATGCGGACAAGCCCCCAAAAGAGCAGCCCCAGCTCGCTTCCTGCAGCATCCAACGGGTGTGCAGGAACAGGCTGCAGCCGGGATGAGTTGCTTCAGAGGCTGAACCAGTGTTGAGACTGGGATCCCGAGTTTCCCACATCCAGCCCCATAACACTGGGCTAAACCTGGGGCTGGCAAATGACTGGAATAAAAGTCCTGTTTCCAGCCTGGGTTGGAGCTCACTGCGCTGACGCTTTCTCGAACGGCTGAGCTCGCACTTTGTGCTGCAGCTTTCCTCTTTGTGCTTCAGTTTTGCTTGGCGCTGCAAAACGGCAGCACAGTACTCCGAGTTTCCCACATCCAGCCCCATAACACTGGGCTAAACCTGGGGCTGGCAAATGACTGGAATAAAAGTCCTGTTTCCAGCCTGGGTTGGAGCTCACTGCGCTGACGCTTTCTCGAACGGCTGAGCTCGCACTTTGTGCTGCAGCTTTCCTCTTTGTGCTTCAGTTTTGCTTGGCGCTGCAAAACGGCAGCACAGTACTCCCAGACCCATGCACTCACCCGCCCTATAGCACTTCAGCAGGTGGGAGGGGAATTTGAGGATGCCTCCGCTCCGCTGGGCAGGGGCAGAAAACTGCCTGGCCCATGGCATGCCCTGTGTTTAGTGGCTGTAGTTCATTAAGGTAGAGGGGCTAATTGTCCCCTCCTGACAGGCACGGGGATGTCTGTACTAATGCAGAGCTTGCCAGTCTGGTGGCAGCATGGGAAGCAGGGATGGGCCCCGGTAGAAGGGCACGGTGTTTGGCAGGGGCAGAATTCCCTCCTGGCTTTACCATGCTGGCTTTTAGCTGCGTCTTAGACGGGCTCTCAGCTGCAGCTGAATCGTATGCTGGGTCTTTGGCCCAGAAAGGTGTCCGGAACTTGGTCTGCCTTGGAAAGAAATGGGACCATACAGGTCACCCTTCTGCCTCCAGCTTGGGAGGAAGAGAGATCTGTGGGAATACATCCCTTTTTCCTGCTTTTCTCATATATCCCTTAACTTTCTGACTTCTTTTTTTCCACATTGATTTGATTTAGCATCACAGAAACCAATCTTTCCTCTTTGGCTGACCCTTTCTGAGCTGTTCTCACATGTCCTGGTGGGCACAGGGTCAGGCACTGCCTCCCCTGCCTGAAGCCCTTGCTTAATCCTTGAAATAATTCTTGTGTCTGTGCTCTTGCAGGCAGAGGAGAGGAGAACGGCAGAAAAGAGGAGATCAGACAGTGACAGAGGCCCAGAAAGTGAGCACGGCCGGAAGGTGAGTGAGGCCCCGTGTCCCTTTAGGGAGGACCCTTGTCCTGAAAGGAGAAACCAGTAGGATGTGCCTGTCCACCAGTAAGAGTTGCCACAATCCTAAAGGAAGCAGCAATGTGCACTGATACGTTCCTCACTGTTCATCCCTCTCGTCATCCAAGCTTTGCTGAGCAGCTAACACACCCGAAGCAAAGCAGCGCCGGGAAGAGGTGACAGGAGACCTGCCCTTCACACCATGTCACGGCTGCTGATGTCCCCAGCACACAGCAGGGCTCTTAGAAGGGTAACATGCTCAGCCACGTGCCAGCGCAGCCCTAGCTGGTCTCTCTCCCAAAACCGTTTACCTGTGGGTTGAAAGGCACAGGACATATTAGCCACAGCTCCTCACTTCAGCAGAAGCTGAGTAGGATGACGGTAAATTAAAGCACGGGCCTTCCCACTGACTGTTTAATGCAAAGCCTGGAGGACATGCTGGCTCCCCTGAGCCTGCAGATGCTCTTAATTAATGAAGCACAAATTGAGTAGCCCCACCTCAGTGTGATTAATTAGGAAGACACAGATGGGCTCTTAAACATTAATTCCAGCTGAGCTCCCTGCTAAGCAGAAAAGGGGAGCACGATAGCTTTGTGGTTCAGCTTACTGCAGCTATGCTGCAACTGAGGTGAGTTCTGGGACAGGGACCAGCCTTTTTTCCCCTCCCCTGAAGCCCCCACAGCCACCTCTGTGCCTGCCCACGTGAGAACAAAGGAACCAGCCTCCGTGTTTCCCTTTGCTAAGGGTCAAGGTAACAATGCAGGGCACTTCCCTCATCGTCCAGCTCTGGAGCTGGAACCCTGCTCTCACTAGCTGTGTGCTGTTCATGTGCTTCTCCTCCACGATTCATTGTGGACCTGCTGTGATGTGGGGCTGGGAGCTGTGGGGAGCATCTCCAGGCCTGCGCCCCAACCCCTTGCTTTGCCCTGGTGTGCCTTGCCTTTCTGCGGACCTCATCCCTCCCTTCTTGGGGATGCAGTCTCAGGTCCCCAGGTCCTGCCAGCTAACGAATGGAGGAGCAATTACTGCCACCCCATCTCCGGCCCACGCGGGTGGGTCTCCTTGGTAACAGGGCTTTCAGTCACTCCTTCCCTGCTGCTCCGCTTTTATCAGCAGTGCAAAGCTGAGGAGTTAATTCCCACTTGGGGATGGGGTGAGGGTGGCTGGCATGGAAGGGCACGTGTATGAAGTGATGTATTAACCACTGGTAATTAGCACCCCAGCACTCAGCTCTACACTAAGCTATTCTCTAGGCAGTGTTGCTTGACAACGTGCCATGGCCAGGTGACTCCTGTTTCCATCACATCCATAGCCTGACAGCTGGGTTACCCACCTCTCCCTCTTCACATGCTCCACCAGCTCCAAACCACCTTTTCATTAGGCTTTGAATTTGTGAACAGTGGTAGCCCTTAACTTTGGAGGAGGGAGGAACCAAGAGGCTGAGAGCAGTGAAGGTGAAAAGCCCCTCTGCTCTGAGAACACTGTGGGCTCCCATGGGTGCCTGGTAGTGACAGCAGCTTGTGACCTTCCTTCTGGTCTTCCTTCTCAGCCCTGTCAGTGTGAAGGATTTCACAGGCATAATTTTAAGTATCCCAAAGCCTTCAGGTGGGGAAACCAGCCAGGTGCATCTTCTGTGAGAATTCAGCCTCTCAGACTCGGGGTGGTGTTGCAGGCACTCCAGGAATGAATAATATGCCATAAGTAAACCTTAGCAAAGTGCCTTTTCCATGAAAAATTGAGGCGGTTTGGATTTAAAACCTTCAGGTGAGCAGGGGCAGTGGAAGTGAAAGCCCCTGTCAGTTGTGCCTGCAGTTAAGATGACTGCAAGTACAACTGGGGCGGCTCAGTCCTGCAGCCGTTTGCACGCGGAATGACGGGGCGTGCTGTACAAGTTTGTAATCTGGGACGCCATATCAAGAATGAAAAACTGTGTTTTATGGAAGCTGCTTCCCAGATCAGGAGGTTTGACATGGCTATGTGAACCAAAGAAACGTGCCTCAGGTTATGGAAACAGCAGTGAAGCCCCATATCGTTAAAGCAACAGCAATGTGTTCAGGTGGCAAAGTCCAGGGGTTTAGATGGATGGAGTGGAACAACTTTTCAGAAGAATGATGCCACAAATTATCACTATCACCCTTGAATATCCCTGGGAGGAAAAGGTCACTTGTTCTGATTTGACTATGGATTTACGCTGGGACTCTGAGCAAGCCAGGCAACTTCTTCCTGCCTCAGTTTCCCTTTCTGTAGAGTCAACCAACCCTGGCACCAGTATTTTTAGGCTATGGGTAAAGCAGAGCCCTTCTGAGTGTGCATCCCTTCAGAAAGAGAGAAGCTGACCTTGCTCCAAGTTGTTTTCAATATTACTGAGCATTTCTGGAGGTGACAGTACAAAGTACACCAAATGCAGCTGCTTCTGGCGTGTTTATTAACAAGGAGCTCTTTTGCCTCTACTAGGATGGCGGGAAGTTGGGGCAGAAGAGCCCTGGAGACCTGAGTTTCCCCATGACTGGACGGGAACGCTCAGAGTACATACGCTGGAAGAGGGAGCGGGATCAGATCGACCTGGAGCGACTGGCGCGGCACAAGAATGCGAAGGGCGAGTGGCGACGGGCTTGGGATGTGGAGAAGTCTGAGCACATGTAGGTTCCCCACTGTCCCGGGGGGGTTTGCAGCAGGCCATCTAAAGCCAGCGAGGAGATCTTGTGCAGACACTGATCAAATCCCACACTGTCCTGTGCCTCTTCCTCACCAAATCCACATTGCTCTTTCTCTTCCTGACCATGGCTATCAGAGGGACCAGATACCAGAGTGATTCTGCTATCTCCTTTCTGACACGGGGTCTCCTGCCCTGGAGTGCTGACAAAGATTGCCTGCCTTTGGTCCCACCAGGACACAGACTGTGGGAGGGAGAGGAGCGGGAATCACTGCTCAGTCTACATCCGGAGGGTCTTTCCATCTCCACACAGACAAATCCAGTGGCAGGAGGGTGCAGGTGCTATTCTAGAAACAGGGATGGACAGGGCATTGCTAGCCCACAGGTTTTGTCCCTGCCCTGCTTGGTTTTCCTTTTCAATCATAGGACAGGCCAACGTGCCCAAATCCTCCACACCTCATAAACCGAGCCTGCTCAGGCACTGCGGTGCCAGGGGATCCCTTCACAGGGCCCCTATGTGACATGGGGAAAGGCTGGGGACAGTGATGTGGGAGAGCCCTTAATGGGTCTAACGCTTCCCGGCTTTGAACACTGTCCCTCCAACTGTGCTGTTCAGCTGGGTCACACCAGCTAGAAAGCTTTGAGGATGACAGCACCTGCAGCAGGATAAGGTCTGATAGGCTGTGGCGTTAGGGGATGTTACGTAGCTCTGCTGATAAACCACATTTGTACAGGCCAGGTAGATGGGACAGTCTTTTGGCTGAGGCAAATCATGATGGCAAATCACCAAATACCTAGATTTTCAGTCACTGAGACCCCAGTAATTAGAGGTGAATTGACTTAAGTGGGTACTGAGTGTAGCTGGCAAGACAGCTCTGAGCCCTACTGCTCTCCTGTATATCAATTTTTATGAGAAAAGCCATAATACAAACCAAGCAGGATTAGAAACCAACCAACCAGGTTGACCCACAGCTCTGCTCTGAGCTGACAAGTCCCGAGGCTACTTCAGATTGTGTTTAGAAGCTTGGGAGGCTGCGTTTGAGTCTTGCACAGCTGCACAGCAGGCATCTATAGGCTTCACGGGTGTTCCTAGAATTAAGTATACACAGATGGGTACCAACGTAACAGTGTTAGAGGTTCTTCTTTGGGGTAGAATTGCCTCACAGCCTCATTTCTCCTGGTTACTGCCCGCAGTTTCAGCTCCTGCTGATAAACCTGCATGTATTTGCCAGTGGGTAGGTGCAGAAGGGCCGAAGGCTGGAGCCCGCGTTGCCTCGAGGTCTCCTGCCCACGCTTTCGCATACTGGAGGAGAACGATCAGGTCTGACGATGCCTGTTTTTAACCTGCAGGTTTGAAGAGGACTTTGTTAAGGATGGGGAGCCAGCCTTGGATAATCCCAGCAATAAGAAAGGTTGGCAAGGGACACCTAGACTCTGTCCTGACGCTAATGAATGCTGATCGTGCGCATCCCAGTGCCACAGCAGCTGTCGTGGCTGTCAGTTGTGAAACTCTGCTTTCCTGGGCAAACGCCTCTGAGCCCAGTGTTGGGGTCTCAGCCCTCTCAGCTTTGCAGAGTGCTCAGGGGATGGGATTGGAGCGTCTGGGTGCTAGTGCTTTTCACCTTCCCAGGGCAAGCAGTGGCTTCTGTAACCTTGTACGACACTATACGGAGGCTCAGAACTGCCTCCTTTCCCAAACACTGGTTTGAGAGGCAATCCTATTCCAGAGCACATCATCTCTGATCCCTGTGGCACGTGCTGGCTTCTTTACTAGCATAAGTCCATCGTGATTCCTGTTTCTCAGGAGATGGACTGGCAGAACAAAGCTTTCCCTTGTGACACCCTATCTGAACGTCAGGCTTTGTGCTGCGTGTCTGTTGCAAAACCTCGCTCACTTTTGTGCGTGCTTTGCTCTGTCCTTCCAGGGGGAAGAAACGCAAGGAAATTCCAGCACAGGTCCTTTCCTCCCGACGGGAGAGGTGAGTAAGCCACACGGCTTGGCTGTGTGACTCCTACAAACGTCAGCACCTCTGATATGCCCTCGTGGAGAGAGTTCTCTCCGGGCACTTGTGCAGCTTGGGAGTGCCTTTTGGGGACGTACCACGTGGCTGTTCTCATAGCTGTGTGGTACAGTCTGTCCTGTGTGGCAAGGGAGAACAAGTCTTCCAAGAGCAGCACAAGGGAATCTGCATCCAAGGAATAAGATTTAAAGTTTTAATTGGAATTTGGAATAAAAAATGCAGAAGAAACACCCCTAAATTCTCAATTTAGATTTATTACTTTAGAAAATACACGCACAGTGTGCATACAGCGTCAGGGGCTTCCCCCCTTCCCAGTGATACAAGGATGTTGGCCCCTTCAGTGGTCCATCAGCTGGTTCTGCCTGCTCCTTCTCAGCATTTCCAACCTGTCTTCTAGGTGGAGGACAGCATGGAGTGCATGTGAGCGATCCTGGTCCGAAAGCAGTGAGCAGCCGAGCCAAAGGAAAGGACAGACTGACGGGCAGAGCCAGGAGGTGAGGAGGCTGGCAGCGGTGCCGCCAGCGCGTGTCCGGGAGATCGCGTCTGGGTCTCATTCCTGATTGTGTGGGAGGGACAGACAAAACCAGATACTGTTTCACAACGGCATCTTTCCAGATGAGTTCGTGTTAGCTGGGACCATGTCTGGCAGGACTTCAGTTGGTGGGGTTTGTGGTACCTGTGGGGCTGACCCGCTGCATCAGCTCTCTGCAGGACAGCCCAGGGGGTCGGGGTTCCTCTGTGACCAGATTTGGGGGCGCTGGCACATGCCCAGCAAGCTTTTGAACACATCTAATCTGACTTCTGGGCACAGAAGATATGGAGGAGCAGCCTCCAAAGAGAGTTTCCAACTGAACCATTAGTAATTCTGGGGTGAAAAGCCCTTTTCTTCTTAAACAACTGTTCTTAAAGATGTGAGGAGGGAAGTGGCAGCTCCCGCCAGCTGTGGGCAGCACACATCAGTACAGGGATTTGCACAGAAGCCATTTCAGAACATCAGTAAAACGCAGTGCATTTTACATCCCCCCCAGGGCCCCCTCCCCTGCTGTTCTCTGTAACTAAATTTCAGGGCAGTCTCCAGTCCCCTGGAGCCACGCTGACGTTGTTTAATAACAACAATTGGCTCCGCAGCCCCGCCGTGCCCTTTAGCCGGCAACAAAAGGATGAAGAGTTGATTACGTACCCAAAGCCTCTTCATGTATCCAGAACACAAAACCACTCCCGTGGTTAATGTTGGCGTTTTTCAGCCGTCCACGTGAGTTATGACTAAGCAGTTACGGCGATGCATGAACAGATAGGTGCTGCTTAGGGGTTCAGCGCTGCCTCACAGCATCGCCCGGAAGAAACCGGGTAGCCGGAGGGCAGCTGCTACTTGCTGCTACTTGGCTGAAGTGAGGAGCATTCGGCAGGGTCGGTGTGCGCAGGGTTCTGCTGCGTCAGGCCAGCAGTAGGGCTGACACGTGGAGCCGGGCACTGCGTTAGACCTGGAGGGTTTTTAACGTTGCTTTTTTGTCTGATGGCTGTGCTCTGGGGAAATGCACCTGAGCAGCCAAAACTCTCAGCTAGCTGAGCTGTGGACTGGGAATTTACTTACAGCATAAAGGTGGGTTATCCCGTCTTCCTAAGCCCTGCTAATCATACTTTCAAAAATTAAATTTAATTCTGATAAACTGATGAAGAATAGGATCAACACCATGCCAATAAGCAAGTTAGCTTTGTTTTTAAGTAACATTCCACCCCTTTCCATTCTTCAGCTCCATCCCCAGTAAAATGTCCTTGGGAGAGGGAAGCTGCTGAGCTGTGCTCGTGCTGCTCTCCCTCAGCCGCTGACTGCCGTGCTGGGGAGTTCGGCTGTTCCCAGAGGATGCGCAGTGCCGGCTTGCCAAGGGATTCGCTCCAGTTGTTGCTTTCTATGAATGTCTTAGAAGGCTGCAGGCGGAACATTGCTGCTCAAAAGAATGAAAGATGCTGTGATTACACAGTTCTGCCCCGCCTGAAGTTGCCAACCCACCAGGCCAAACCAAACTCCCAGACCTCAGCAACTACCCTCAGTGGTGACACTGGTTCTGCTTCTGAGCTTTGCCACTGCAGTTTGGTTGTTTGTGACAGTAAAAAGAGGCCAGTGAGAGATGCAGAAAGAACATTTCAAACTGACAGGCTACAGGGCAGAGAGGGAAGAATTGAAAAACAGGGACAGGACAAGGAGCAGGACAGAGTGAGACAATAATAAAATTGAAAAAGAGGCTGGCTACAAGGCAGTGAGGGAAGAACTGAAAAATGGGAACAGGGAGGTGGACAGGGAGAAATCTAGAAAAAAAATCGTGCACAGGAATTACATCAACAGCTGCACTGGAGAAGAGAAACAGAAGATAAAAATACATCCACCTGATAGTACATCTAAGGAGTTAAAGCACAGGTAGCTGTCAGGCAGACACTACCACTCCCATGCTGGTTGTACGGTTTTTAACAGCCACAAAGGACCTGACTCTAGGTCATGATCCTTTCTAAAAGATGGTCCTTATGGAGTACAGCCTTCCTGACATCACACATCTGTTTTGGGCTAAGCTGGGTTCAGGGGGAAGGCTCCTGATGCAGCATTGCTCTCTACTTCCCTCTGAACTTAACCGGGTCAGTTATTAGTTGGGTAGATCTCCTCCAGGAGAAATTGTAACAGGGTCTTGAGCTATTTCTTCTTCCCTCTACGCTGAGCTCAGAGCCATGACCAGAAGGAATGCCCTGGCTGGCTGTCTTAGGGCAGAAATTCAAAGAAACCATGTTGGGGTTTAATGTTTTGTACAGACTGCCTCAGAGCCTCTGGCTGGCCGATCCTCTGTTGATCTAGAAGGGATCCTGGGATTCTTTGGCCATGTAATCTTGACTCTGAAGCTGGAAGAGCATCCTTTGTTCCCGTGTTGTTCTTTGGGAAGAACCATTCCTGAGGCTTTTCCTCTCATTTCAAACCTCAGCACAGGGAGCCTTGGGGGTGCTGGGTATTCCTTACCTTCGCTTGTATCTGCCCTTTTATCTCTTGGAGACTCCTCGCCCCTTTGAGTCCAAGCAACCCAACAGCAGTGGCAAGACCTGTTTGGAGCATCTGATGGTGACTTCCAGCAGCACTTTACTCCCTAAAGAGTTTGGAGCTAAGTCCCCGTGAGCATCTCTCACCGATAGCACTAGCCATGCTAGGGAACATGCTGAGTATTTTCATTGCCTGATAGTGATGAATAACCCACTCCGTGTTTGCAGGAGTGATGGGGAGGAGAACATGTCAGGCGAGATGCTGCATATTTCAGAATTGCTGTCTAGCTAGTTTTGGCTGTCTTTAGAGCTGGGGAGGAGGCTGTTCTGGGCTGGCTCTGCAGGAGCCGTGCAGTGGGCGAGTAGACAGAGCCAGGAGAAACAAGAAACCTGCAGTGAGCAAGTCATTCCTCCGTTCACGTATCTGTCTGGGGAAAGCAGCCACCGGTCCCACCAACGCTGAGTGCAGAGGGGAACTATCACAAGGGCAGCCCACGCTGAAACGTAACACTAGTGACTCTTAAGATGAGCTCTGCCCACACAACCCGGCTTCCAGAGCTTGCAGGGCACTGAAAGTAAAAGCCCAGTGGTGGGGGCTACTTCCAAGAAGAGAGGCCCTTTTGCACTTTGAGCTGGCATGGCTGGTGGCAGGGACACCTTGTATTCAGGGCAGGAGTTTGGGTGCTGGCCCTGTCTCTGAGCCCTGTGGGACTCTGCCGAGCTGCTTCGCTCTCTGGCTTCAGGTCACACTCTGAGAGAGGCCTGAGGTGCTCGCAAGTACGATTTGCTCCTGGCCCAAGGCCTCTGCTAGGCACAAAGGCAGTGTGAACCAGCTTAGTGTGACTGTATGGTGGAGCCTGTGATGATGGTAATTCCCATACGATTTTCACAAGGGCACGTGGAGTCACTGTAACACATTTGGAAATTGCTGCTGGAAAGGCCTGACCCCGCAGTCACCTCAATGTGCACTTTTTGTTGTATCTTGGCCCACATTTGCCAAATGCAGAGGCCAGTAAGCTCAACAGAGTCTGCCTAGAGAAGAATGAAGTCTCACACACCTTTGCACGTGTTGTGTTTTAGACTATGGGGCAGGGTGAGGTACGTATATATTATATACGTGTGTGTATGTGTAAAATGTTTGTGAGGTAACTCACAAGCCCCACATACAGAAGGGTAACAGTTACGAAGACGCCTCCCTGCCCAATAGCACTGCGTGGGCAAATTCAGATTTAGATTCGCCCCAGCAAATTCAAACAAGGAAAAGCAAGCAGTTTGCCATGCAGCCTTTAACTACGCTGCAGCTTTGGCACAGGAGGTTGTAGCTGCTGCAAATTTATTATAGGATCAAAATGCACTTAAATCCTTGGAAGAAACTGTCTGCTAAGCATGACTCAACAGAGATACCATCTCGGGCTCCAGAAACCCCAGAGCTGCACATTTCTGGAAGCTGGACAGGGCGCTGGGGAGCCCTCCTCTCTGCCGGTGATGCTGTGAGGGGAAGGGAGCTGGGCTAGCGGGACCTTCAGCCTGATCCTTGTGGCCCTTCTTGCAGTCTGCTTACACATCTCCACGGCTCCAACCTCCTAAGCTGCTTCGAAGCAGTTTTATCCTTCACTGTCTGCCTTTGTGTCTGCTGCTGTGGGGATCTGGGGCACCGTCAGGCCAGCGGGACAAGACTCTAGCAGACATCAGCATAAGCAAACTGTGTATCTTACTTGTCTTAACGACAGCTGTCCGTTCTGGCAATTGGATTTTATGTTTTCATTACATTTAGAATTATAACAACCAGTTCATTAAGATTTAGTGGTATCAGATGAGAGTCTGTGGGTGGGCTGAGTGCTTTGGAGGTGCCAAACTGGACCGGTTACATCTGCCACCTTTATCTCTCATTGCCTGGTCGAGGGGCTCAGTCAAGGAACACAAGGCCCTGGTAGAAATTCCTGACCGGTGTCAGGAAGGGAGAGTGGCTTTGCCATATGAGGACTTGAAGGCCTAAATTCTTTTTTTTTCTTGACAGATGGGATGCAAAAGAAGGCGAGGACATGCCTTATCTGAAGGATGATCCTGACGGCCAGGTGAGTTCATTGGTCAAGGCTGGCTGCTGAGTTTTCTCAAATCAGCGCTGTCAGGAGCGCTGGAGGCCCTCAGGCAGTGCAGAGCTGGGAAACCTCTGCGTTGGGGTGAAGGTACCCCCTCTTAGCACTGTCCAGCTGGCATGATGTGAGAGCAGCTTCACTTCTTGCACTGACCCTCTGCCAGCACATCCCCATTTATTCTCGACCCTGAACACTTCTCCACCTACACCCTTTTACTTCCTTTAGTGGCCTCCACAAATTTTCCTCAAGTTTTGGGAACCATCACAGACAAGGAATACCATGGACTGGCATTTTAATAAGCTGAACTAAATATCTCCTTCTTTTCTCAGAGGAGCCTTGGTACTGACAAGTGGAAGAGCCGAGGTGAGGAGGGGGCGGAAGAGAATTGCACAGCTGAGCTGGAGCAGAAGGTGAAACAGCCAAACTTCCAAGATCCTGGGGCTTCCTCCTCACAAAGGCTCCGAAGCGGAAAGGTCCAGTCTGCCCACAATGGCCAGAAAGAGGAGCGGAGAGGAGTGAAGGGCCTCGGCATGGAGGTGTCTGTGCCCAGCCCAGGGGACTCAGAGCCAGGGCCCAAGGCAAGTAAGGAAGGCTTTGGGGAAGATGCCAGCGGGAAGCCTGGCGCTGCTGATGTCTCCAAGGAGAAGGAGAGCCCTAACAGCACTGCTGCACAGAGCAGCCTTCCAAGCACTGTGCAAGCCCCCAGGTGTGGCAGCGAGGAGACCTTGCCATTGCCTGTGGGAGCGAATTCAGATGGAGCTGGCTTAGAGAAAAACATGGCTTCAGAACAGGAGTCCACTGGGGACTCTTCAAACGGCCACAGAGGAGAGCTTGAACTAGCAGCGGGAGACAGACTGGATGCAGGTGAAGGACAACTGGGGAGAAAAAGAGGGGAAGAGGTGACCCCCGACATGGCCCTTCAGGGGCAAACGCTTGCACTGGAAGGTGAAGACACTGAAGGCACCGAGCGTGGAGGAGAGCCTTTGCCCCCAAGGAAAGCCAGCTCTGACAAGACTGTTGTGTCTGAGCAGGACACAGCAAACTCGCAGTCCGGGGAAGGGGAGCAGCCTGTGGATTGCAAGGACAAGGACAGTGGAGACAGCCCCAACTAGCAAAGATCGCACCGGCTTGCCTGAGAGAGAAGGTGAGTTGCTGACCCCACTCCCCATGGTGTGTTTGTTGTCCCCTCAGTGCTCTCAGCATAGTACAGGTCCAGAACTCCTTTTTCTGCGGCCATGACAGCGTGGTACCAGGGAACTGTGCGGAAGTGTTCACTGACGGTGATACAGATCCCTCAGGTAGTCTAAATCTGGGTGTCACAAAGACCTGACCTGTAGTGGGTAGAGAAACAAAGGAAAGTCAGACAGGAGAATTCAGACAGAAAACTGGACTGCTGAGTGTGGTGGGTGACAGACGTTAATCGGGACACAAGCTGAAACTATTGCTGGGAAGGGATAAGCTCAGCAAGGGCAGCAGGATGAATTTGTTTCTGGGTGATCACAACTACAGTAACTTAGGGTGAGCGTGGTCCCTTTCCCCCAACACTTGCAGAGCTGTAGAATCACAGAATTGTTCAGCTTGGAAGGGACCTTAAAGAGCATCTAGTTCCACCCTCCCCCATGGGCAGGGACACCTTCCACCAGCCCAGGTTGCTCCAAGCCTCATCCAGCCTGGCCTTGGACACTCCTAGGGATGGGGCATCCACAGCTTCTCTGGGAACCTGTCCCAGTGCCTCCCCACTCTCTCCAGGAAGAATTCCTTCCCAATGTCCCATCTCGATCTCCCTCTTTCAGTTTAAACCCGTTACCCCTTGTCCTGTCACCCCCTGCCCTTGGGAAAAGTCTCCTTCCAGCTCCCTGTAGAGGCCTATGTTGTGGACAGTGGGTTGAAGAAGGTCGACTGCACATGGGATTCTCTTCCCAGTACAAAACCTGTGGGTGCTCCTTTGAATTTTACATGGGACAGCACTAATGTGCAAGGCGGTGTATAAATACAAAGGGTGAGATGGTTCCTGTTGGAAAGGCCTATGAGCCAAACAGAAAGGAGGAAGAGCAGATCCGATTATTTAGCAGAGTTTACTCAGGGTTTTACTCAAGCAAAGAAGTTCCTTCCAGAAAGGCAAATGCAGGAGAAAGAACAAAGGCAGGAAAATAAGGTAGAAATGAGGAGGAAGGGGCAAGGAGAGAGCAGAGGGGCTCTTTGGCGGTTACCTTCGTAAGGCACGCACAGATCAGGGTGTCGCACCCACGGGTGCTAGATCAGATGGGAAGTCAGGATGTGATTGCACCGCCAGCTTAGGGGTGAGGTGCACTTCACTCCACCTAACTCGGGCACAGCAGCACCTAAGATCTGGGCTCTGTTTCTCTTCAAGGAGAGACGTGAGCACTTCCAGGGCGCAATCCAGCTTGCCGAACGCCTCTCAGGGTACTCCTGCCTCTACCCTCTCAGTGGGGAGGCACAGCTGTATGCTGTGAGTGGGCGCTCCAGGCAGGCAGCTGCTCAGAGCCAGGCAGGCAGATCGCCCCCACCAAGCGCCTTTCCCTCGCTCCAGCAGGCTTTCCTTCAGACCCCGACCCGGCAGCTTGTCACCGCGTATCGCTTACCGTTCATCCCAGAGCCACAAATGAGCTTAGGGATGAAGTGGTTAAGCTGCTAACAAAGAGACTTTCGCTCTAATCCGATCCTCTACAAAAGGCATGGAGAAACGCGAGCGTTACAGCTCTTTAAAAAAGACAAAACGCCAAGAACCAGCGGGAGCTGGTTCTGTGCTTAAACCAAAATTCCTTCAAGTGAGGGAAATTAATTCCAACCGCATTTAGGAAAATGTTAAGAGACACCATAGCGGGAGCTTACTGTCCAGGCCGCACCTCTCCAGTCGACCAAAAATCCCCCCAAAAGTAGAGGATGGAGGAATTAGATTTATCTTAAGTGAGAAAAGTAGTCATTAATTAGACACCAACTAAGAGGAAACAGAAAATTACTGTGGTCCATTTTCCTCTCAGCAATGGAGATTCCCATGGTTTGGTTAATAGATCCGAGTCCACTTCAGCATGGCTCTTTACTCCATCGCTCCTCGCTGAATTCATTAAGGCAGGCTTAATTATAACACAGCCTTATGTCTTGGAGAAGCGGTGACTTAACCTGGTGTTTGCACTTCAGCACTCACATAACTGCTTGGCTCAGCCGGAACTTGAGACCAGGATTGCTCTTGGAAAATACTTACTGCTTGGAAAACTTTTGCAAGGGCAGGGAGTGGCAGGACAAGGGGTAACGGGTTTAAATTGAAAGTGGGGTGGTTTAGATTAGATATCAGGAAGAAATTCTTCCTGCAGAGGGTGGGGAGGCACTGGGACAGGTTGCCCAGAGAAGCTGTGGATGCCCCATCCCTGGGAGTGTCCAAGTCCAGGCTGGATGAGGCTTGGAGCACCCTGGGCTATGGAAGGTGTCCCTGCCCGTGGCAGGGGGTGGCACTGGGTGGGCTTTGAGGTCCCTTCCCACCCAAACCAGCCTGTGATACCTGTTAAGTGTAGTGACGCCGAGGGAAGATGAGGGCTGGACTGGTGTCCCAGTCACCCTCTCCCATTTCATCCTGCCGGCCTCCCATCTATGTCCTTCCTATCTGCAGTGCTCATTTTGCCTCGCCTGATCGTGCCCCCACAGACAGCATGTTCCCGCCTCCCTTCCCTCTTTCCCAAACAGTTTAAGGTGAGTTTCCCAGTGTGCCTAAACTGGCACACTCGGCATCAGCTGCCACCTTGTGAATCAGACAAATTAAAGCAAGATGGGGTCCTTTTCTGATATTTCATGTAAGGTAGGAGATGTTTGGGGGCAGGATGTGCAGGATATGGCTGGCAGTCGTGCAGGGAGAGCCGGCCTTTCACCAAAAGCGGCCGAGCTGACCTGTGTTAGGGTGACAGGAACAGGCACAGCTACATCAAGTCTTACACCGAGAGAATGCATTTTCATTCTTAGTCCTTAAAACAGTGGCCAGTCACTAACTGACAGCAAAGACATAATGACTGCTCTCCGAGCACAGTGTCTGGGATGGCTTCATTGGCAGGTTTCTTCCTCTGAAGCCTTTCTCACTGGCAGGGCACCTGTAGAGGTGCCAGGCTGAGCCCGAGCAGCCGTTTCTGTGTCCCCCATCTCAGCAGTGGGCTTCTGGTTATTTTTCATTCTGTCAGCTGCAAGAGCATTTAGGGAATGAGAACATGAGTGCTGCTTGGCTGTTAGTCTTTCATGATGTCCTGGGGCATCATTGTCACCTCCTCCCTGCTGAAGTCACCACGAAGCAATCTGACCTCTCCCTTTGCACCAGTGACAGGCCACTATCAGGCTCGGCTTTCCCAAACAAGGTCATTTGCGGGCAGAGTGAATCCTGCCATGGTTTTTTTGTAGTGGGGGAAGAGCCAAGAGGAAGACAGAGGGACCTGTCTTTGTCTGCTCCCTGTGTCCCGTTTGTCGGGAACATCCCTTGGCAGACAAACATAAAAAAGCAAGATTTGGATTTCTCTGGCAGTAGCTCAGCACAAGCAGAACGTTCCTCTTTGTGGGCTGACAGTAGGGCTCCAAGGAGCAACAAACGGCAATGATGACAACCACCAAAAAGGCAGAAGCTCATTTGTCTCAAGTTGGTGAAGTTGTTGGTGTGTTTGGAGTGAAAAATCTTGTGTCTATTCGTGCTGCTGATTAGAAGTTCCCGAATGAACGTGCCAGGCGGCGTGGTGACACAGACGGCCGTCACAGCCCGGCTGGTAACTGCCACTGCCCTTCTCCCTCAGCTTCTGTCTCCTAGTGCTCTACAGACAGGGCCGTTTTAGATCACCACGTGTACAAAACCCTGCAGAGTTCTGCTTTATTTTCACGTAATTTTCCCTAAAGTGTTATTCCACAGCAATTTTTGGAACCGGACCCCCTGGGACCGCCCCCATTTGAGTTGTGTTTGAATCCTTGGTGGGCTTTTCCATTTGTTTTTTTGCCTTATTGAGCCTGCTGCCTGCAGCTGATGCTTTAGGGAAAGGATTGCCCAAAATGCAACCCCGGGGAAACCTGCCTTCGGAAAAGCCCTTGCATATGGCCCACACAGGGACTCGCTAGGTGTGGCCACCCTCGGGGGCAACACTGCTTCCCCGGAGTCCCTTCGGGAACGTACCCACGTGTGCTGGGTAACGATTCCGCCTTTTTCAGCCTATCTAATAAAATTATCGGGCAGAGCTAGGTTTAGCAAGAACCGAGAAAAGCGCGTCAGTCAGGAGGCGGAAAGAGCAGGAAGGTCAAACAGTAGACAAAGAGCTGCACTTTTATGTTAGAATGCAAAATTCGGAGTGTATTTATTCCTTTTGTGTCTAGTACCGTGAATGCAGGTGTCCAAACCACCTCCATTATTTGCTTCCCTTCACGCCTTGAGTCTAATCTCTAAGAACAGGTAGTCCCGAGCGCATGGCCCGTCATCCCGTTTAGGAACCCGTGGGCTGGCAGCTCACACGCAGTTTTTACTGGCTCCAACACCGCGTTGCGGAGGTCGGTCTGATGTCATGCCGACACAATTCCAGGATCACCCCACTGCAGCAGGGGAAAGAGGGGGTGTTTCACACCCTGAGGAGTGTGAACAGTGATAGCACAAGTTCTCTCTGGATGAAGGACTTCGTGTGGCAAGGTCAGTGTTGCTACGCAAGCCTCCAGGAGGTCCTGCGCAGCTCTGTACCAGCTGGAAACCTGTGCTGTGTTCTGTGTCCAATGGACATTATACCAGGGAATGACCTGAAGCACCTGGTAGGAAACACGAGAGAACTCTGTGCCGCGAGTGCAAATTATCCCGAGTCTGAGTGACTGCTGCCTCGGAGGACAGAGATTGTAGTGAAAGAGGAAGATGCAACCGAGACCCACATGAGAGATGACCAGCATTAAGGAGAAGCGTCTGGAGGGTTGTTCCTCATGGCTTGTTGGGACTGGGTAATGGTTTCCTTAGGAGGTACCAGGTCACTTCCCAGTGAGATTTATTATTTTTTGCTGTGAAAATACAGATTTGACCATTGGCGTGCATGGACCGGAAATGTGTCTGCTTCAACATCTTGTACTTCATAAAACCCAAACTGGAACCTCGTTAAACCTT